CTAATACTAATACTACTTATAGAAGCCATCATTTATTGTATTTACTGTGTCCAAGCCTATTACACACACTTTTAAAAAATTCCACTACTCTCTGAGTTGGGCATTATTGTTTTATTTTACAGATAGGGAAGTTAGGGTGAAAGAGGTCAAGTGTCTTGACAGCACAGCAATTAACTGGGAAGGTAAGTTCTCTTCTTACCCTCTGAATTCTAATGCTGATTAAACATCACCTGTCTCTAGTCGAAGCTCACATTCTTATTGTGGAGATAGGATATTCATAATTAAGACAAACAGCAATTTAGTATGTAAGAGGCCAGTTGTACGGTATTCCCCATTTGCTATGTATGTGTGTGCTGTCAGCATTTCACAAAAGTGTGAGGTTGTGTATGGCTAGATGTGCGTACTCTCGGCATTAATTGCCTGGGTTAAAATTGACTTGGACTGCTTCCTGGGGGTCTGACCTTGGAAATGTACCTTAACTCTTTGTGCCATTATCTTTAAAATTTATTACAAATAGGAATAATAAAATTATCTTATTACTGTAAGGGATATATAAAATATGTAATGTGGTTCTTTGCCTGACAAAAATGTGTTTCTGCTAGAATGTAAGCTTCTCAAAGTCAGTGGTTTGTGCCTATTTTACTCATTCATGTATCTACACATCTAGAACAGTGCTTGGCATAAAATAGACATTCATTCGATACATTGTTGAATGCATGAAAAGATGTTGATATGTAAATACCTGGGCTTAGTCACTTTAGCAGATCTGATGAAGTAGTCAGAGGCTTGCACATCTTTGTGTAACAGTGGTTCTCAGCTCAGGATACATATTAGAAATATCTGAAAGAGCTAGGCATGGTACTACACATCTGTGATCCCAGCTACCTAGGAGGCTGAGACAGAAGGATTTAAGTTCTAGGCTACCCTGGGCAATTTAGCAAGATCCTGTTTCCAAATCAAAAATAAGGAAGGGATGGGGTTGTAGCTCAGTGCTAGAGTGCTTGCCCAGTTTACATGAGGCCCTGGGTTCAATCTGTAATACTGCAAAATAAATAAGAATAAATAAATAAATAGAAATGAAATGCTTGGGAAGCATTATTTGTTTGTTTGGTACTGGGGATCCATTCAGGTCTTGAAAAGCTAAGCACTCTAACACTGGGCTGTATCCACTGCAGCCCTCTGGAAGAGTTTTAACTGGGCCAATTCTCTGCGAAACAACTGGTAACTGTGGGTTGTCTCTTCATGGTGATGGTGTTTTTTCTTCCTGTGAAGAATCTTTTTAATAAGAAGAGATCCCAGTGGGCCAATTCTCAAGCTGCACCATGAGTGAAGGTTCTCCAAACACTGTTGGAGAATCACCGTGAAAATAAAAATCCAGGGTAATACAAATATACTGTGTTGAAGATTCAATACCAAAAGTGATTTTTCTGACTAATTTAACACCTCTTAGAAAACTCAGTACAACTTTTGTTTTAATAATTACATTCTTGAAAATGTCAGTGCACATTAAAACTGGTAAAAATCATCTTGAATTCATATGTTATATGGAGTAAGATTAGTGTCGCATATAGTTGAGTTTATTCCCCTAAGTAGATCTCTGGTGAATATTTGGAATTCTGCTGGGTCTTGGGACAATTTTTTGTTGTGTGTGGACTATGCTTTGCATTTTGGGCAGCTTGTCCAGGTTAGCCAGGAAGTGTTATGGCTGATTTGAAGCTAAGCAGTTAGTGCCTATATTGTATGGGACAAACACCTGATGCATACACAGGGCTTGAGATGTCTCTTGAGGCACTTGGAGAATTAAACCAAGACACCATCATAAAATTTTAGGCAGTTGACTTCTACTGAGACGAGTTTGTCAGTATTGATGTGTCAATCTTTTGGAGCTGTCCTCATCTGGCCAAGGGGCTTCCTGATTCTTCATTGCTTTTCCACTCAGCAAGCAACGCCTGGAATTTAGCTCAGCAGTTCCGGCACCTGCCTCACAAGCTCAAGGGCCCAAGTTTGATCCTGGGTACCAAAAAAATAAAAATAAAAAACCACTTTGGTCCACTCAGCAACAGGGTCCTCATTCTGTTCTCAGGTGTAGGCTCCCTCATGTGTAGAGGGAATTGGCAAGGTGGGGATGGATTGAACATCGGAACCATATAAAGCTAGAGTCAGTAGAACAGAACAAAATAAAAGAAAGAGGGTACACTGGCTAAATAATCTCTTACACTTCTTCCCATGCAGTTTAAAAAATTTCTAGTTATGAAGATTATATGCTGTGTGTGTTTTTTAATAAATACATTGGGGAGATATTAATGCTATCTTATCCCCTTTACAAATGTAGTAGCAATGGGATTCCACTTTAATGTTGATCACACAAAGCTATTTTTGATGTTTCCTGGGCTTCTTAACATTGGATTCGACCTAATTTGCATTTATTTCTAAAAAGCTTCTTTGGAGGATTTCTGACCCTCTCAGGAAAGAATATCACTGAAATGTAAGGCCTGGAATATAGTTCAAATCATCCTAATCAGATTTCTCAATCCTTGATCTAATCAGCAAGCTGTTTTGCTTAGCTTCTTGGTCAAGTTCATTCATTAACTCAGAAAGCATTTATTGAATATATGCTGTGACTACCCTTGGGCCAGAATGTAACAAGATTAGTAGAAGAATTGAGCCCTGTCCTTTAGGAGTTTATAGTCTTATTGAATGAAGTGAGGGAAATAATAGAATGCTATTTAAAATGTATGATGGTTTTTCTACTTTAAATATGTTAGAGGTCTTTCATGTCAGATAATTGACATTAACTGTCACTTTATGCTCTCAAAGCTGCATTATAGAATATTGTCTTTTCATATCTATTTCACGGTTATTATCACAGTTCTTTTCAAAGATGCTTTAACAATTGCAGCCATTCTCTACAAAGTGTTGTGAAATTAATAGAAAGAATCGTTAGCATTTTGTAGTTTTGCTGACTGTGGATTTGGGAGAATCCTGACCAGGAGGAATGAATGAGAAGTTGAAATACCATTGACTTTTTTCTTATTGGATCAAATTGTAGCATAAAACCTCTGCTCTCTTCACCCTTCCAACCACATACCAAGTTCTGCCAAACTCTTAAATGTCATCTTCCACAACCAAGATAAATTTAAATAGAAAAGTAGCGTACACTAATTTTATTTGAGCTCTGAGCTGTAATAACATTACTTTCTTATTTGGGATGAAAATATATAGTCATGCATGAATTATTGGGAAAGGGATTTTTCCTTCCGTGATGGTGTAGAAAATGGAAAGCTGAAGCTGTAAGCTACTTCTCACTCTCCTGTGATACCTACATAGTTTGCTTTTTTCTTTCTTATATATTGTACTTTTATGAGACTCATTTACAGATTGGTAGCCACTTTGATGTTTCTTACTCATTTTTTCTCCTAATGTTTATTGTGTCATAGATATATAGTTTCCTTCTGTTAACATCATGTAAAACCAACTTAAGTTTGTATCCACATGAGGACTATAGACCTTACTTAATTGTTTCTATTCACAGGCTAGAAAAGAGTATGATTTGACAGTGATTTTTATTAAGGGTTAAATGTTTCCGTATCTCTGAAAGTCACATTGCTCTCCCTTAGCACATAGAACCTTTGCATCCCAGTTTGATTATTTGAATGATTTCCCTCTTGGTGGTCCTAATCAGGTAGAATAATAAGGTTTTGATTGTCAGAGCCTCCAAGTTCTGATGAGTTATACTATGACTCTTAGCTGGTGACTGACAATAGAATTTTATTTCAGGACGCAGAAGGAAACCTTTTGAGAATGTGTGTGACTGCAGATTGCTGTGCCTCACCCTCAGTCTCATTCAGGGCTCAGAGCTGCTACAGCCCAAGACCTACCTGATTGTAATTCAGTTGCTTCTCAGATCACACTTAGATACCACCAAAAAGGGGAAGGTGTTCTCCCTTCCTAGGAGCTATTCTTTGTTCAAGTATGTGCTCAGACTCAGCTTAAGACCCTTCTCTCACATTTTTTTTTTGGTACCAGGGATCGAACTCAGGTCCTTGCACCTGTGCAGCAGGTGGCGAAACCACTGAGCTAAATTCCAGGCCCTCTCTCACATTTTTGATGGGACTATTCAGAAATTAAACTTCTGTGATTCCTGAGAACCCCACAGATCTCTCTGGGTGATCTCTGCTCTCTTCCCTTTCCTTGTTGTTCTTGTTCTCTCCTTGATATTTTCCTCTTTTTTTCTTTTAGCAGAATAGTGGCAGTATTTGTTTCCCTAAATCAGCTCCTCTTATTTCTTATCTTTGCAGGCCATAGTTGGAGATGACTTTCTCAAACCTCCCGATTCATTCTCTCCTTTTTGGCCTGATTCTGTTACATCCCACTAAACAAACCTAGACTCGTGTGTGTGTGTGTGTGTGTGTGTGTGTGTGTGTGTGTTTGTGTTTTCATTATTGTGGGCCTTGGTAAACATGTTGGCTTTTTTTTTTCTTAACATTTATAGTTTCTTGGCAGATGGAAGTCAGCCTCTTTGAATTTAGAACCCCAAGCTTAGTTTGTCCTATGCAGGGTAAAGAAGAATGTTCTGAAGAGAAGAGGGAGTAAGAAGGGACTTTCAGCTGTGATCAGCCTTGGACAGAGAAGGTATTTCAGGAGAAGACCTCGTGAGCCCACTTTCCTTGCTTTTCCCCAGTAACTTGCAAATTATCCAAGCATTGCAATATCTCGAACTCTTTAACTTTTTTTCTATAGAGAGCCTTCTGCCCTGATTAAGGACTTACATGTTAGCTTTTAGTTCTAAAGCAGTATTTCCCCATGGTGGCCTTTTCAAGCTCCCTGTTTTTTGGGACCTGCCCTTGATATGGTTAGAGAGGTGTTTTTCAGTGCAGTTGTAAAGGGTTCCAGGTGTGGAGGGCTAATTTGGGCATTGTTTCTATCCCATGGGAAATTCTAAGCTCTGTACGAGATTCTGATGTTGTTTTTTCTTTGTGTGTTTTTTTCTTCTGCTGCAGGAAAGCAATCTCCCGGGCAGGCCTCCAGCATCTGGCTCCTGCACATCCCCTCAGCCTTCCTGTGGCAAATGGTCCAGCAAAGGAGCCCAGAGCGACTCTGGACTGGAGTGTAGGTGTCAGCTTTTACATGTCCTCATAATTCCAGTTGCATGTTGTGCTTTTCTTCTTCTCATTCTCAGGATTTCTATAGCTACAAGAAAGAATGACTGGACAATGTCTCTAGATATCTAAGCCACAGATCCACTTCCAAACTCCTAGGGACACAGCTCCTTTACTGAAGATAGATGTGTTCAAGATTAAAATAAGAAGTTCACTAAGCATTTGAAAAGTTATTCCCTGGCCTTCCATGTGTGAAATAAAAAGTGCCTTCTGCACAAAGATTATTGGTTTCTACCAAGCTGGTGATGAAATGATGAATAGCAACATCATGGCATCTTAGTTTGTTTTCATCAAACTTCCTTTCTTATGTCAAACTGGCTCTTCAGGGTATCTTTTGTTCTGACAGAAGATTATCTCACTTTACATTCTAGGCACTTCATGTTCCCCTCTTGGTTTTACTTTTTCCCCAACCTGAAGGCAGGTGGAGCTTGCAGCAGCAGGTTGGTAATATTAGTTGATGTTGATATTTTAACCAGAACACACCCACAAAACCAATTGACTTAATTTGAAGACTGCAGGCTCAAATGTGAAATCAGTTAGAATATGCTCATTGGGAGTCTTTGGTAGTCAAGTTCTTTGTTGATGATGTCTGTAACCATGGACGGAAAAGTTGGGTCCCTTCCTGATGCAAGTAAGGAGCTATATCCAGTAGAGGATGGCTGCTCTGAAGTTCTGCCATTCTATCTTAATGATGAACCTTGTTCAGTGTTTTTAGTTAAGCTTGAATGGACAAGATAATCCATGATCTTTTCCTGTTTTATAGAAGAGAATGGTGGAGTGGGGGAAGGGAGAGTTTTTTTAAAATTTAAGTTTATTTTTAACTGATAAAAATCATACATATTTATGAGGTTTCATGTGATGTTTTGATACATATATTTATTATATAATGATTAAACCAGGACAAATACTTAAATATTTACCATTTATGGTAAAAATATTCAAAAGCCTTTCTTCTAGCTTTCTGAAATGTAAAGTATATCATCGCTTATGATCACACTGTTGTGAAACAGCACATAAGAATGTTTTAGCCTTATTTACCTATCACTTAATACCCATTGGCCAATTTTTTGCCATTTCTCTTACCCCCATATTCTCCAAAGCCTCTAGAAACCACCATTCTAAGCTCAACTTCTATGAGATCATCTCTTTTGGATTCCACATCTATGTGAGATCGTGTAGTCATTGTCATTCTGTGCCTGGCTTATTTCTCTTGACAATAATGACCTTAAGTTCCAACTATGTTGTTGCAAATGATAGGATGTCATACTTTTGATGGCTAAACAGTATTCCATAATATACATGGACCATATTTTCATTATCCATTCATCTGTGAGTGCATACTTGGGCTGTTGACATTCCTTGACTGTTGTGAATAGTGCTGCAATGAGCATAGTAGTGCAGATGTCTCTGACATACAGATTTCATATCCTCTGATACATGTGCTGACCATATGACATTCTGTTTTTAATTTTTTTGAGGAACATCTACAGTTCACCAATAGCATAATGGCCATGGTAGTTTATATTTCCACCAACGTGTTGCAAGTTTTCCTTTTTTCTCCACATCCTTGGTAGAACTTGTTGTGCTTTGTCTTTTTGATAAAATCCATTTTTACTGGGGAACAAGAAGGGTGATATTTTATTGTGGTTTTGATTTATATATCCCTGATGATTATTAATTTTTATCATTTTTGTATATGTTGATTGTTTAATATGTAGGCCTATTATCCATTTAAAAATCAAATTATTTGATATTTTTATGGTATTTTCTTTTTTAGTTCTTTAAACATTCTGAATATTAACCTCTTGTTATTTGTATAGTGTGAAAATATTTTCTCTCATTCTATAGGTTGTCCCTTCACTCTGTTGTTCTTTTGCTGTGCAGAAGCTTTTTAGTTTTATATAAGCCAACTGGTGTATTTTGGCTTTTATTTTCTGTCCTTTTGAGGTCTTTGCCAGAAACTCCTTGCCAAGTTCAGTGTGCTGAAGTACTTTACCTATGTTTTCTTATGTTTTCCCTATATTTCTTTATGTTTTCTTCTAGTAGTTTTGTATCTTAAGTCTTTAGTGCATTTAGAGTTGATTTTGTAACTGGTGAGAAATAGGAGTCATTCTATTCTGCTTGTAGATATCCAATTTTCCCAGCACCATTTATTGAAAAGACTGTCACTTCTCTAATGTATGTTCTTAGCATATTGGTTGAAAATTAATCGAGTGTAGGTGCATTTTCGAAGAATAGATGCTGTGATTTAACCTCCTTTCTAACATTTTCCTGTCCCCCATAACACACTTGCCATTCTTTTTTACATTCTGAACACATACCATTCTGAACACATTCTGAACACATACCATTCTGAACAAGAAGTATAACTGCTGCTTTCATTTATGAAGTATCTGGCAAATGACTAGATGTAATTGAAGTGTAACTTCTTGCTTGATGGAGATGATATTATACTGAGACTCCTTAGATACCAACTGAGCATGTGGAAGAGGTATCCGGGAAGAATATTCCTTTCCTGAGCTTCCCTTTATTTTAGGGTAGCTAGAACAGAGTATAAGATATACTTACAACAGAACAGAATATAGACTACATGTGGTAAACAGTATATTTTACCCATTATACATGAAAGAGTATACTTACACAAATGTCTATATAATTAAAAGGAATTAATGGTATAAAAAACCAGCTAAATAAAATTGAAGAGGGATGTGCACGAACCAGGGATAAGTGTGTTATGAATGAAACACTCACAAAAATCAGTTTAATATTCCTGATGTTCCAAACAATCTTCTGATGTAAAGCAGCAGGATCCTATTTGAGAGGTGATGTTCTAAAGAGAGTTTACATCATTAGGTTAGGGACATTCATTGTACCCTTTCTCTGCCCCTTGCTTGAAGTTAACCAAGTCCTTTGATGTCGCTTAGCCTCCCCTTGCTCCTTTGTAAGTGGGCACAATTGTGGCCTCTCCTTTGAGGTAATCTTGAGTGTTTTTAGGATCATAGTATGGCAGTTTAAGTGTGAAGATATTTTTGTAAACTGTGCCAATCTGTAGTTTTATTTATTTAGATCTAAAGTAGGTGACAGATCTATTAATTCATCAACATTTATTGAGTTCCTGCTTTGTAGTAGAATGTATGTGGGTGCCTGGGGATCATGAGGTGAAGAAGATATGAATTCTACCTTCAGAGAGCTTAGGCTTCAGTGGAAAGAAAATAAGTCAACAGTCAGAGTATGGGGTGGTAATGGCTAGAACAGAGGGGCCAACGGGGATCTCTGGAATATGAGAAAAGACACTCTGTCCCCACTTGATGTCAGAAACAGTTACAGCAAATCCTTTCAGTAAGTGTCCTGTTTGAAGCTGCATTTGGATAGAAGGTGTTATTTTCTGATTCTGGTAGAGAGATATGTGTTCTAATATTTATCAAATTGTATTTTTGGCTTGTGGTGGTAGGCTGCAATACAAAATAGGGAAGCAAATAGGAACCAAACCTGGGTTTGAGTGTAGTGGTCTTTCTCCCTCTCCTCCCCTCCTCTTTGATTGTAGGCATCCTGGATGGTGGCCTGTTGAGATTACAGCATGGCAGGAAACACCAGGGGAATATTTAACAGTGGAGAAAAAATGGAAAGCCCTAGGGTGCTCCATCTCAGGGCTTTGTTAGAGATCTGATGTGTAGGGATTTAGGAGATGTTGCTATGAAAACACCATATTTGTGGACTAATAATGATGTTAGCAAACAGAAGCCAAGCCAGAATCAGTATTACACTTCTTTATTATGGTCACAAAAAACACTTGCTTCAAAAGAGGAAGAAGCAGATTGTTAAAAATATTTCAGTGTCTTTTTATTGCTTTTGCTTTAAACATTTTGGCTGTTATTACTGAATGTACTTTTCAACAATTTCATTTATATCATGTTAGTTTGCTCTTCCATTCAAGGACAACAATCGAATTTCTCTCCTTTGTTTAAAGTGCTCGAAGAGTCTTTGGACTCGCTCATTTCTTTTACTCCGCACCCTGGTGTGATTTCCTATGGAAATGCAGTGAGACAACTTTTCTCCCATCACCAGCCTTCTCTTCTGGACTCCATGTCTTAAAATGAGCAATCTTTACTTATTCAGTAGTACTATTAGGAGGGCTGACAAGGCTTTGAACTTCTTAGGAGTCTATCAAATAAGAAGGAGGATGGCAAGAATTAAAAGCAAATGAAAATAAATGGACTGTGGTGGATAGCTCAGTGGTAGAGTGCTTGCCTAGCATACACAAGGCCTGGATTTGATATTCAGCACTGCAAATAACAATAAAAATTTAAAATAAAACAAAAATAGAAGCCCCAGTTACTTACCTTGGGTGAGGTAAAGTATGTGAAGTGCTATCTCTGAGGGTCTTGAGCACAGTGGCACACTCGGGCACCAGGACAGATGGGAGTTCCTTTTTCCTCTTCCTGTTCCTCTTGACTCTTGGATCCAAATTCCCTTTGCTCCACAATCCTTTGGCTCAGGGGGATGGGAGACATCTCAAAGGCCTTTAATATGGTGACCCTTTGGCTTTGTCACCTCTACTTGCCTCACTGCAACAGTAAGAAAACAGATACCAAAGCTGTTCATGACCAAGATACATCAGGATCAAACTGGAACTAGGACTGTAGTTGCCAAGATTTTTTCCCCCAATGCTGGGGACCTTGCACTGAGCTATGAACCCAGCCCTTTTTTTATTTTCATTTTGAGACAGTGTCTTGCTAAGTTTCTAAGTTGCCCGGGTGGCCTCAAACTTGTGATCCTCCTGCCTCAGCCTCCCAGAGTGGTGGGATTATGGGGATATCCCACCACGCTCTGTTTCTACTTTTTGTGGAAAGGGCCCTATTCTGAACCTAGTGTGTATGCCAAAGTCTTCTGAAGGGAAACAGTTCTTTCCTCAATGTCTCTTTTGCAGAGGGTTTGAGAAGTGGTTTCCAA